CTGTTTCATTCAGGTGTGTGTGTGTCTCGACAAGTGACCTATGACTTATAGTTCAATGTGGATTTTGTTCACTGTTGTAATGTTTCTGAACACATTTGATCTAATCACTTGTAATATATCTGTATTTTTTCAGTTTTAATTTTTTTTCAGAGCAAATATTATAATGATATATAATCTTATATGGACTTCTGCTTTTACAGATTGTGACAGAGTGTCAAAGTGAGTGTTTTGTCCCAAGACTTCGCCGCACCAAAAGTGTCTTTGTAAGTTTTCATTTACCTTGAAACATTTCATTTATTTCCATGTAATTGCATATTATTTTCAAATGGGTCTTAAAGCGAAACTATGCAGGTTCGTTCGCTTCTTTGCTGTTTTTCCATCTGTGGATCTCCCCCTATTGTTCCGGAGTGCTTGTTTAACAACAATGATTCAACAGTCGCAAACTCCACGGCCATGTGCATTTGTTTACAATGAAGCCGGCAAGAAGCACAAGTGAAACAACAATACCATTTAGTCTGCATCTCCTTTTTTCCCCCCAGCTCTGCCATCGTAATTACTCTGAAATTAAGCTCCAGCGAGGTGCTGTAAAGAAGTCCATGTTTGTTGCGAGACTAAACTAACTAAATAAGTTACCATTAAATCGACCAATTATCAAAATAGCATCTGAGTTATCTCATATTAATGATTGGCCAGTCAACTAATAATTAATTCTATGTCTGTTTTTAGATGAAAGACATAGACCTGGAAGATCCATCTGAATTATACGATTCTGCATCAAGCGGTGATGAATATGTGCCAGTTTCCGCTGGAAGTGACGGTGACGAGAGTTGTGGAAGAAGATCATCTCAGGCTCTTTTTGATATGATAAATCTCTCTGTCTCAGTGGGATCTCCTGTTTGCGACAGCACCACACAAGACAACATGCCACTTGATCTAGTCGGAGAAACATGTGAATTTGTGGAAGAGGAGGAGCCCTGTTCCAGTCAGTCCATTAACAGAGAAACATGTGAAGTTACTGAAGAGGAAGAACCCTCCTCAAGTCAGTCCATTAACAACAATGTATTTGTTCGAGCCCCCCACAAAAGAGATGGGATTAGAGTTTATGACAAAAAACATTATTGCCTATATTGTTCCAAGCCTTATCCTAAAATCGCAAGGCATCTAGAACATGCACATGAAAACAAACCTGATGTGGCAAAAGCCCTGAGCTTTCCAAAAGGTTCCAAACAAAGGAAAATGCATCTAGATTTCCTTCGCAACAGAGGAAACTATGCTCATAATGCCTCAGTTATGAAGTCAGGAACAGGTGAACTTGTGCCATTTAAGAAGCCACCTAAGGGGGGTCAGGGAAGTGATTTTATGCATTGTGCTTTTTGTCAAGGGCTTTTCACAAGAAAGGTTCTGTGGCGACACATGCGTGCTTGTAGACTTAAACCTGGGACAGACAAACCCAAACCCGGAAGGAACCGTGTGCAATCTTTGTGCACATACACAGCAGCTGTGCCTTCAAATATAAGTAAACAGATGTGGGGAGTCATCAGTGCCATGAATCCTGACCCAGTGACAGAGATAATAAAAAATGATGAAGTGATTATAAACTTTGGGCAACATTTATTGAACAAAGGCGGGATGTCAGCGAAGAATCAACAGCAGGTCCGAGAGAAGATGCGAGAATTAGGACGCTTAATTCATAATGCTAGGAAAGTCACAACGTTAAAAGTAATGGAAGACTTTGTCAAGCCACAAAAGTACATTGAGACCGTCAAAGCTGTCAAGGCCACATGTGGCTATGACAGTGAAACAAACATGTTCAGGATTCCATCACTAGCAAACAAACTTGGGAATTCCCTAGTTAAAATAAGCAAGCTGTTAAAAGCTCAGGCTTTAATCTCCAACAACGTAGAAATGGTCAAGAATGCCAGTGATTTTCAAGACATCCACCAGGAAAAGTGGAATGAGATGATCTCAGCCACAGCACTGAGAAACATCAGGGAAGCAAAGTGGAATGTGCCTGCTCTCATGCCGTTTACCGAAGATGTCCAAGGAATGCATGCATATCTTACTCAAGTGCAAGATGAGTGGTTCGACACTCTCTCTGAAAATCCCTCTGGGAAAGCTTGGTCAGAGTTGGCGAAAGTGTGTCTTGTCCAGACAATTTTCTTTAACCGCCGCAGGGAAGGAGAGGTAGCAGGGATGCCTTTGTCTGCATTTACCAATCGAGATACTTCAGACCCGCATGAGGATGTAGATTGGGCCCTCTCAGAAGTGGAGAAAAAGCTCTGCAGACACTTCACAAGGATAATTGTCAGGGGATAGCGTGGACGCCCAGTCCCAATTCTGCTTACCCCAAAAATGCTGAATGCAGCAGAACTCCTTGTGAAGCAAAGGGAGGCTTGTGGGGTTCTAAAAGAAAATGAATACATGCTTGCAAGACCATGCGCCATGACACATTTTAGAGGATCTGACTGTATCCGTGACTTTGCAAAAAGGTGTGGTGCCAAGTGTCCCCAGTTACTTACCTCAACCAAACTCAGAAAGCATGCTGCCACCCTGTCAACAGTTCTCAACCTGACTGACACGGAAATGGACCAGCTGGCCAACTTCCTAGGCCATGACATAAGAATTCATCGGGAATTCTATCGTCTACCAGAGAAGACATTGCAACTGGCCAAAATAAGCAAGCTTCTCATGGCACTCGAACAAGGGAGGATCAGCGAGTTCCATGGGAAAAACTTGGATGAAATAACTATTGAACCACATGGTGTGTTGACTTTTTTTGTTTGTATTCACCATATATTCCTTGGTGTTTGATCACATTTGTAAGTTTTATTTTGTATTACAGAGCGAGCTCTGGAAAGCGATGAGGACGGTCAGAGTCAAGAGAACTATCCGTCAACTGATGGTTATAATACTTCCCATCAACTTGATGGTAGGTATTTTAAGTTATTCTCAATATATGCTTTGCCTCTTTTCTATGAGCCATGTTGGGAAGCTCCTGATCTCCCAGATGTGACTACTGGGCTTACTGATTGCTACATTTACATAAAATAAATAAATGATAGCAAAAATAATAGTTTATGATGTACTTTTTAAATTCTTGCTCATGAGGAGGTTTCTGGAGGCCAGCTCAGTTTTAAAACTCTCAATTGATAATAAATATTTATTAACCGTACCGACTATACTTTGTTTCAGTGCACTAATTAAAAGTCATAAACTGACATACATTCTTTATTGTCAACAGTATGTGGTGCTTTGCAAGTACAATTCATATTTTCATGTAAAAGCTGACTTTTAATTTTTTTTCAGAACCATCAACAGAGGAGTCAGTTCTTTCTGAGGTAATGCTGCCCACACCATCAAGGAAGCGAAAGCTGTCGTCTCAACCATCGTCAACATCTGCTGTTCTTGACGATGCTCCTTCAAGGCCTTCTGTTAGGAGTAAGTAATAATCAGAGAATGTCTGACTGGAGCAGTTTCAGGTTTCCAGATCCACCTTTTCTCATCACTGTGGTGGAAAAAATGTATGTCCTGAAGTCATTCTTAACTATCCTTAAACTAAAATTTGATGGTGGTCACTGTTGAGATTTGTGGGAGCTACCAGTATTTATATTCATGGCAGTACATAAATCATTTTTAGTGAAACTCCTTTTGCTAGACTGCCCCTAATAATCAGCTGATTTGAAGTGCTGATCATGTGAGGTAAATGTCCATTCACTTGCTGAGCAGATAAATTCCACCCCTTCTTGGTTTGATGGTCTGAGTTTCTGAAGCCAAATAAACTTCTTGACTTTACTCAGTCATCGTGGATGATCGACATAACTTGGGATTAAGATAACTTTACAAATAACACAAAACAAACTGATTCAAATACAGGATTAAATATGCATATACTTAGTTCCAATAAAGAAAAAGTAACATATTAATATGGTAAATTCTTGCTTGCGAGGAGGTTTCTGGAGGCCAGCTCAGTTTTAAAACTCTCAAATAAAAATAAAAATGTATTACCTGTACCAACTATACTTTGTTTCAGTGCACTAATCAAAAGTCATTAGTTCTAAAACTGACATAAATTCTTTATTGTCAACAGTATGTGGTGCTTTGCAAGTACAATTCATATTTTGATGTAAAAGCTGATTTTTTTTTCAGAACCATCAACAGAGGAGTCAGGTCTTTCTGAGGTAATGCTGCCCACACCATCAAGGAAGCGAAAGCTGTCGTCTCAACCATCGTCAACATCTGCTGTTCTTGACGATGCTCCTTCAAGGCCCTCTGTTAGGAGTAAGTAATAATCAGAGAATGTCTGACTGGAGCAATTTCAGGTTTCCAGATCCACCTTTTCTCATCACTGTGGTGGAAAAAATGTATGTCCTGAAGTCATTCTTAACTATCCTTAAACTAAAATTTGATGGTGGTCACTGTTGAGATTTGTAGGAGCTATTTATATTCCTTTATTCAATTATACTCCAATTGCTAGTCCGTCACTAATGATCAGCTGATCTGAAGTGCCAATCATGTGAGGTAAATGTCCATTCACTTTATGAGCAGATGAATTCTGCTTTTTCTCGGTTTGATGGTCTGAGTTTCTGAAGCCAAATAAACTCCTTGACTATACTCAGAGAGAGATTAGTAATCTGTGTGAGAGGATAATAAAGTGTGTGTCATGGAGTGTAATAGTGTGTGTGTGAGAGAGAGAGTATGGTGTTAGATTTGAGAGATTTGCTACTTTATTTACCCTATACTGCCTATTTACAAATTTGTCTTTCTCAGCTCTTTCAGGAAAAGCCACACAGAAGAAATCACCGTGGACGCAGACAGAGATACGAGCGGTTGAAAGGCATCTGATGAAATTCATTTCATCATGCATGGTCCCAGGAAAATGGGAATGCGAAAGGTGTCTTAGAGCTGAACCAGAGGCCCTAAAAAATCGTAACTGGCAAACCTTGAAGTATTATGTTTACAACCGTATAACAGCCATCAAAAGAGCAACAGACTAGGCTTTGTTGATTATTGTTCAGGTCAGACACTATTGTTCATGTCAGACACTATTGATATAGCTCTACTGTTTTTTTTTTAACTCTTTGAACGGCTCTTAACACAATTATAAATGCAAAATTTCAACTCAAATTTTGCATTTATAATTGTGTTAAGAGTCTAAAAAGAACATTTCATTGAGCTTTCTTGAAAAGTGTTCAGGTAACGGCCGAGAGACACTGATAGAGCTCGTAACTGGCAAACCTTGAGGTATTATGTTTACAACCGTATAACAGCCATCAAAATAGCAACAGACTAGGCTTTGTTGATTATTGTTCAGGTCAGACACTATTGATATGGCTCTACAGTTTTTTTATTAAATGAGAGTTCAACTTTTGCATTTATAATTGTGTTAAGAGCCTTAAAAAGAACATTTCTTTAAGCTTTCTTGAAAAGTGTTCAGATCACAGCCGAGAGACACTGATAGAGCTCGGTGGGAAGAGCCTTAACAGACATCTGGCACAACTATACTATACTACTGCTTTTTCTTCTCTGTTGTCTCATGTTATGCAAAACTTGAAAACATTAAAAGGTTTTCTTGGCAATGCAAGTTTTTTGTATAGTCCAATTTTAGTAGTATGTCTCAAAAGGTTTTACACAGCATAACAACATCCTCTGCCATTAGACCCTCATATCGATTGATAAAAAGAAAAAAAATTCCCAAGAAAACCTCAGTGTAAGCAACAAAGGACGGACCCCTCGCCCAGGATGGGCAGAAGTGCAATAGATATTGTTTACAGACAAGACAACAACAGTTTACAACATGGAATAACATGGAAAGTGGGAATAATGTTATCAAGAGGGGCAAATGAAGATTCTAGTGGACTGGATAGGTCATAAGCAGAGGGCAGGCTGGTTCAGGAACAGAGGGGATGATAAAGTCACTGGTTGGAGTACCGGTACCACTAATCCTACATAGTGGGGCTTTAAATACTGGTTGAAAGTTTGTTTTCACAAAACAAAGAAGCTTTACATTCATTCGGTATAGATAGCTGCATGTCAAATGTCATGTCCCCACTTATCACATTTGAATCTGTGTGAAATATGCAAATTTTTGTTAATGAGGTCCTCATCAGGCATGTCCACTCGATTTACCGGAAGTCCCCAAATAGCATGATGAAAATATTACTTCACCTTTTCAGATGTTTGAAGGCGTGTATAAGCTAACCAAGCTTTAGTTGTTGTGCATGATTTTTTTTAGACCTCTAAGGCTTGTAGAAAGGGTGGTCCCCGCAAGTGCTGATTACAAAGTTGATCCCCATGACACATAAAAACCAGTATGTGTGTGTGTGTGTGTGTGTGTGTGTGTGTGTCCATCTGCCAGTTGAAAACTGTGGGGAACACACACACTCCTGCTCTGAATAGAAGTGAGTTTCCTTTAATGAGAGTGAAATTTAAATCCTGGACAATGTGCCGCTTTTAGACTTCAGCCCAAAGCAGGCAGGTTTTCTTCTACACACACACACACACACACACACACACACACACACACACACACACA